CAGGTTGCTTCAGCTGAGAGGAGGGCTGGCTTCCATGTCACCTGCCCACAGGACAGGGGAGATACAGCCAGGCTCCTCACAGTAGTGTGTTGTGGGAAGGAGAGCTAGAGACAGTTGAGACATGCTGAAACAGGAGAAAATGAAACATTTTTCCTGCAAGGACAGTCCATTGGTAGCATCAGGGCCCAGACAAGCTGTTGCCATCGCCAGTCTTGCAGGTTCTCAAACGCCAACTGGATAAGGCCCTGAGAAGCCTAGTCTGAGCTCAAAGCTGGCTGTGCTTGGGGCAGGGTTGGACTGGAGACCTCCTGTGGTGCCTTCCTGAATTTTCCTGTTGTCCTTGATGTGACAGAAAACGTGTGTGTGTAGTCTAGTTCCATGGGGCACACAGCTTTGTTTTGAGACATTAACTATAGCTGACAAACGTATCAAGAGTGTGAGCTTTTATTGAAGTCAGCATTAAATTGTGGAAATACAATGCATAATGCTGTTATAAAATAAACCCTTAAAGTAATATTTATAATAATAGCAACAATAATAATAATTATTTCCTTTCTGCCTGCATATACAAGAAATCAAACAATTATTCATCTGGACTTGGGTAAAAAAGAGCAAACCAAATTGGAATCTGAATACTTACACTTTCACATTTTCTTACTGCGTATCTTTTCCTGAGTAGAACTTGGCTTGTGTTGAGTTCTTGCTCTAGGATGATAGTCTGCCCTTTCATGGTGTTTTAAAGTAGCAGAGAAAAATTCTTAAACTTTCAACTTCATGATGCTTAAGAAATATATGGATATATTTTTTTTTCTTCTTTATAGACAGGAAGGTAATTTAACCTTCAGCAAAGAGTTAGTTGCAGTAGTAATCAACCTCTGAATTCTCTATTGTGGTGACACATTCATCCATCACGTCCTGTGTGCAAAGCTAAGAGTGCTTACAGAACACTTTCCCAAATATGTTTGATTACCAGTGCACAGCTGCTGTTCTGGGTAATTAATGTGAGACTATAATATCATTCAGATCAGTGCTGTGTCTATATTTCCAAGGTCAGATAACCTCTCTTGCTTATATTCTCTTCTGTCTATGGTATTTTATGTAGATTATTGACTTTTGTTTGCTTGCAGGAAATAAAGAGCTTTTTGCTTGTCTGGTGGGAAAGATCAGGCAGGCCTTGTATTTGTTTGAGGAAAGGGCTTTTAAGAATAAATAATGAGTGGAGTTTAGTAGTCTTCCAGCTACCATGTATAAACAGGGGTTTAGTAAATTCTGACCTCCAATCTTCATAGGTGTTCATTAATTCACTATCGTAAAGACTGATTGTTAGACAGTAAAATAAATGTTCTTGACTCGGAAGCTTACTTTTCATTGAAGGTTACTGAGACTGAGGTGACCTGAGGCCCTTCATTCAGATCAGATTTCTAAGTCAACTTACTTTTAAACAAGTAAGAATTATTTTACATTTCATAATAAATAATAAGTTATTGTTTTCAAAGTTAAAAGCTGGAATTTAATTTATAGGATGAAAGGCAAGCAGAAGGGTGTTTTTCAGTAAAAAGCTTTTAGTAAAGCTTAACATTTCCTCCTCTTCCCTTCAAAATATGCAACCTTGAAAGTTTTGGGATATCATTATTTGAAATCAAGCTGAGAGAATTCTTTAAATGAGAAAAATTTTACACGTGGAGCTTTGGAAGCTATAACTTTGACAAAGGAAAGTGATGGATCTGCCAGGTGTTTTTTAGCCATATTTTGTGTGGTTTGTAATCTCTCTAAGACATGTCAGTGATGCCATCTGTCCATAAAACTCATTATGTTGCAAGCATGTATTAAGACTTCTAAAACAGGATATCTTATTTTCAGCAATTACCAGTACTTTTATTGTCATAAAAATTATTGCACTTGATACCTTATTTGACTTGAGTAATCTTCATGTAGCTGATTTTTTTCCCTTCTTTTCTAAAAACTCAGTTAAGTTAATGACATATCATTATGTCATGATAAAACTTGAGAAAGTTGATCATTGTCCTGTGTTTATCTGTATCTTGATTTGTTTTGGCTAGCACTATCCTTGTTCTGGGGATGACCAATGACACTGATTCACGAGTCAGGTGCTAGTTGAATGCAACAAATTTAGGTAGATTTTTTAATCAACCATCTATTTTAGCCTAATTCTCTCTCTGTAGAGAAGAGTGGAAATTTTATAATTTACTTAAATGAAAGCAGGCCGTATTAAAGAACCTTCCCAGCCTCACCAGTCATGAGACTCTGACAGTCACACTTCTATCACCAGGGACTGTCACAGCTGGGACCGAGGCCATCACCCTTCATGGTGACCTGATGGGTCCCCCCGATTCTTGCACATTCTCACAGGATCAGCCCAGATTTCCTGGCTGGTGACCCCAGGTTTCCCATAGCAGAGGCTTGGATGTCTCTTCCCATAAAGGCATTTATTCATGGTGCCATAACACAAAAACAGCTCAAGCTCTGAGCCTCTGAAGAGGGAGCCTGGAGAGCGGAACCCTTGGGCTCTTGTCTCCTCACAGTCCCAAGTGTGTCCAAGTGTTGTTGGAGATTTTTCAGAAATGGCTTAGAAGGCAGCTGTGAGGAGTAAAATTCTCACAGCCGGTTTCTGTAAACAGCAGAGGTTGTTTTTAATTACAAGTAAAAGTGACAAACATGAAGGCCTTGAGAACCTTGTATACCAGAGTTCTCAGGCAGCTTTCTCATAACAAGTAGATATTCTATCTTTGGCTGTTTTGGGAAAGCAAAAATAATTTTGAGAACCCAAATCTTGGTATTGGAAACATAAGGAGGGGTTGGTATGTTATCTCTGACCTATTGTGAGCTCGGGTTTGCAATATGCATGAACTTAATTAACGCGGTTATAAAAAGTGACTGATTGAGTGAATAAAGGGAATCAGATGCTGAACAAGGAAGTTGGGTCTCTCCCTCCATCTTCAATAAAGTGTCACTTCCCCTCCTGAGTCTTTGGTTCCGGCTGTGTCTCAGTATCCATCTTGTCCATCCACCTGGCTGGTGCCAGCATTTTTGTGTCCTGTGTTTTGCGGAGAGTTGGCACTTCCTGGCCCCTTGCCCAAGGCTCCTGCCCCCCAGAGCTCAATCTGCAGCTCACACTGTGGGGTGCAAACTGAGCTACCTGCACCAAATGTATTCCTCTGCTCTAATCTCCTTGGGAAGGACTTTTTGTTCAAAGAGTTCTTGCACCTTGGCATCCTCACGCTTTTAGTGGGCTAAAAGTGGAAGGCTGTCCAATATTGTTGTTCTTGCTTTCTTACCGTATGCTGTGTGGGGGGAAGAGTGTTTAGTTCTGGTGCACACTAGTATAATACACTTGTATTCTGCCCATTTTTTCCTAATGTCTTGGAAGTCTTAGCTGGAAAAGACTTTATCTTGTCACTGAAACCTTACACACTTTCATTGGCTGGAAAAAACAAACTGGGTTTTTGCATAGTGATTTTGGAAAGGGATTAGTTTGTGTACAACATCCTTATAGATCCACATAATATGATTTATTAGCTATTACTTTACAACTGTAATTTTTTTTAAGGACTCCTTTGTTTAAAGGGCTAAAACATTAGATGTAACAAAAACAAGGAGTATTACTGAGCTGGAAGCTGCACCCTCTGGATTTCCTGTGGAAGTTTAGTGTAAGTGACTCACACCTTGGCTTGCCTGCCTGTCAGCTTCTGTAATAGATAGCAACTGAAATTGCTGTTACTTTCTCATCCCAGGAAGTTATTCCTACTGCTCTTCTGCACAGAGCTCATTTAGTCAGTAAAGTGCCACCTGAGCATCCCTGCCTCAGTTTACTAGATTTGATCCAAGTTCTATTTCACATTCGCATTAGTTTTTTTTAGTTGGCAGTTGACACATGCTTTTATAGATCCTTCAAGTTAGCAGCCTTCCAATAGGGACCTTTTCTTTTAGTACTTATCAGTAAGTCACAAGCTAGAGCTGTGTTTTATTTCTGGATATGTGGCTTGATTTAGGTAGCTAAAAGGACTTCACATGTCCTCTTTATGACACTGCATCTTAAACACATAGGACAAGGTTCCAAAAAGCTGAAGCTGTTTTATAAAAACAAAACCTTCTGAGCTAGATGGGCCTTTTTCTGTTCCCTGCATACTTTTTATTATTGGCATTATTTTATTACTTCTCTAGTAACCATATGACCTTTTGAGATTTTTACTCAATTGGCAAGGCTGAGATGCCCCACTAGTCTTAATGCAGTCATGGTTATGAATATTAGAAATGTCTTCGCCCTGTTTTAGGGAGGAAGCCATCTTAAACCGATTATAGGTAGATTCCAGGAAGATAACTGTATTATATCTAGGAAGAAGAAGAGGAGGCACCTGTTTCTTCTTCTCTAGGAAGAAGAAAGAGGTGCTTCAGATGTACTGTGCCCTGAAAGTAGAACTTTAATTTCTACTGATTTTTAAAAAGTGCATAGGGTGACTAGTTCACCTGAATGCATAGCTGTCATGTATCTGAGTAAGTATCTGAGTAACTTTGGACTCCTGTGACAGGACTAAATCTGCTATTTTACATTACAGCAGCCTTCCTCTGCTCCAGATTAGTGTTCTGTGGGGAAAGTGCTTTAGCAAAGGTGAAATATTTCTGTTATCTCTGCCATGGTAAAATATCAGCTCCTGGCAAAAATTATCTTTTCTCATCGGCCAGCATCTTTGCAGTGCTACTGCAGTGCATACAGGTATCTCCAAGGGGCTGCTCGGAAATGATACGTCCATAAAGAATTTGTCCATGGAAGAGGGAAGTGCAGTCCCCAAGTGTGTTGTTATTGGTTGCTGCTGTTGGAGATCATTTGCATGGGAGATCATGCTGTTGTGCTGTCTATTACCTGATTGCAGAGCTTAGTCAAATGTTTGTCTGCTGGGAAGGAAGGATGCATTTTGTTGCTTCTGTCTATTAGCTCCACTTTTTTTATTGGGAGTAATTTCAGAAATTTTTTTTCTTTCCAGCTGTGATAGACAAAATGTCAGCGGAATAAGTGACCTACTGTCCAAAATTTGCCATGAACCATTTGGTTGGACCACCTGAGGGGGAGGTCAGTGAAGAGCCAGCAAACGGAGCAGTGAGTGAGTCAGTGGAAGCTGACCTGGAGCACCCAGAGGTGGAAGAGGAGCAGAGGTATGCGGTTCGCTACCCAAGGCACACCAACAGCAGCCACGTGGGCCTCTCTGGGCAGGAGGAGGAAGGCATGTTAGCTCGGTCAGCCAGCACTGAGAGTGGTTTCCACAATCACACGGATACTGCAGAAGGGGATGTGATAGCCACAGTGGAGGATAGTTATGATGTCGAGAGAGTGCAGGAAAATGAGGATGAGAGTGCATACGCAGTGCAGTACAGGCCTGAGTCTGAGGAGTACACGGAGAATGCTGAGGCTGAGCATGGTGAGGCCATTCACAACCGAACATTGCCCAATCACTTACATTTCCATTCCATCGAGCACGAGGAAGCCATGAACGCAGCCTACTCGGGTTACGTCTACACGCATCGCCTCTTCCACCGAGGAGAGGATGAACAGTATGCTGAGGCTTACGCTGACTATGGGCTGCAGGAGCATGTGTATGAGGAAATAGGAGACACACCAGATCTTGATGTTAGCGAGGGCATCCAGCAGTATGAGCGGGAGAGGGAGGAGGCCGACAATTACCGCAAGGAGGCACTTGGTGCCCGCCTTCACCATTATGATGAACGGTCTGACGGAGAGTCTGACAGCCCTGAAAAGGAAGCAGAGTTTGCACCCTACCCAAGAATGGATAGTTACGAACAAGAGGAGGACATTGATCAGATTGTAGCAGAGGTGAAGCAGAGCATGAGTTCCCAGAGCTTAGATAAGGCAGCTGAAGACATGCCGGAGTCAGAGCAGAGTTTGGAGCATGGCCAGGCTCTTGTCAGTAGTGGGCATGAAAGTAATGGCCAGCTAACATCTGGTTCTCGAGTTACATCTGGCTCGGGAGAATCTGTTCAGAGGTACAGCAAGGAAAAAAGAGATGCAATTTCACTGGCCATCAAGGATATTAAAGAGGCTATTGAGGAAGTGAAGACGAGGACCATCCGTTCTCCTTATACCCCTGATGAACCTAAGGAGCCTATCTGGGTGATGCGACAGGACATCAGTCCATCCAGGGATTCTGACGACCAGAGGCCACTAGATGGGGATGTGAGTACACAGAGCTTTCACTTCTCAGAATATGTGTCTAATTTTTTAACTGTGACATGCATGGCAGTGAGGAAGGGTGCATTATATTTTTGTTCTGTGTCTCATTCTTGAAAAAGTGCTTTGTTTTAAATTTGTACCCTGGAGAGCATAAGAGGAGTAAATGTGCATTATCAAGTAGCCAGATTTTTTTTTTATTTAACACTGCTGACCCCAGGTATGCTGTTTAAGAATTTGTCGCATGAAGCTCTTTATGTCTTTTTTGAAACAAATGCTGTTATTTTTCTACTGCCATAATACATTTTAGATTAGCAACCAAGCAGTTTTCTACCGTCTTATCTTTGTATGCTTTTGTTAACTCTTAAGTTTCTAGGTTTCATGTTCTGTCATGTAACAGTCCCAACAGTTCTATCAGAAATCTGGTAATATTCTTTTTGATGACATCATAATTCAGATCCATATTCTAGAAAACTTGCATGTCAACTTGCAGTGTCTAGAACTCAGTGTATTGCATTATCACTGTAAAGTGCTATTTACCGCAACCTGAGTATTGAAGGGAGTTCAGATTTAAGCATTAGCATTTCTGAAATTGTATGCTTTTGGCATGAGGTTTAACTTGGATCAAGGCTGTCTTCCAGGTTGGGGTTCCAGCTGTCTTTAAGTTAATTTTTACTACAAGTTTTATGAGTTTTCTGCATTATTTTATATAGTAAACTCATAAACAACTGGTAAATGGATTAAGTTTATGCCTGATACAAAGAGATGGGAGGCTTAATTTACTGACTAAAAAGTATCTATTACATGTTCCTGTCTTACTATTTCAAGAGCAAGTACCTGCAAACATTGCTCCATTCCTCTCTATTGCTGTGAAATGGGTTTTGTGACCTTTTGTTTGGGTTTGGTTGGAGTTTTTTGGGGTTTTTTTGGGTTTGTTTTTGTTTTGGGGTTTTGTTTGTTTGTTTTTGGGTTTTCTTTTGATTTTTTTGGTTTGGTTTACGTTGGTTTTTTTTGAAGAACAGCAGAAGTAGAAATTATTGTGTGTTATTTTGGTATTTTAGACTTAATTGTTGTAACATTCTAGGAATGCATGGGAACTATTCAAGACACCTCAGTTAATTCAAAGGGAATTCAGATAGTGAAAAAAAGATCATGTGCCAGGTATATCTATAACAGGCTTCTGATTTGTTTATCTGCCTTCAAAATGAGGACGGCTAGTATTCTACAGATAGAAAGAGATTTTTGGAGCATGGTGTTTGGGATGCTGTAAAAACATGTAAGCTGATTGAGACATACAGCTTCCAGATTTTATTTTTCCTGCAAAACTGTTGGAAACACAGTGAGGAGGGTGTTGTAGGGCTTTTTTCTTTCTTCTTAATAGGAAACCTAATTGAACCTTAAAAAAGCCCAAACAGACAACTGTATTGCAAAAGTTATTAGCAAAAAAATATTTTTAAAATTATGTATGTTACAGAGTTGATTTGCAGTCATGTGAGGAAAGAACATCTTCCCAGATTATTTTGTGTGGAATTATTTTTAACTTAACTTCAGAAATTTACAAAACTAAAATGATTTCTGTCCATATTTTCAAATAGATCACATTACTCTCTTCTACACGTTTGGTTTACTGTATTGTCCAAAAATGCTGTTACTGCTTGGAGGATCAAAGGACTTCCTGTTCCTTCCTAACTAATTATAACAGAGCGCCATGATGATCTTGGTGACATTAGGTTGTGGATCCTAAGAGCACCAAGTTCTTCTGAAGGTGCTTATCTGCTCTCTAAAATCCAGGTGCATCTTGGCAGAATTGAACTTTTCTGAGATGTGTTGATAGGACTCAGCCTGGTATGCTCATGTAGTGAGCAAAACAGGTATTTTTAGTGGTCTCTGCGTGCATTAGGTATTGAAATACAAAGAGGTTCCCATTTTGCACAAAAAATTAGATTCCTCATTCAATATCTTTTTGCACCAAGTCGGATAAGAACCTGACTGAAATTTTCAGGGCTGGCTGAAATCAAAACAGTGATTTATAATGACAGTTATTATAGCTCATCAAAGAGAGAAATGCTGGTTGTAGATGTACAAAGCGTCTGTGTTCTTGAAAGGAAGAAGTAAATGGCACAAATAATTTAGAAAATCTATAGCAGATTGATGAGCAGACTTGGAGAAGGGATTTGGGTCTGAGTAGGAATTTTGTTTTTCTCTGAAGAAGAGATATATATTTGTTTTACTGGATTCTTTAATTTAAATGGCAACTCAAAAACTGTCTGCTTTTCTTAAGGCAGCGTTCCTAGAATTGCTTAGTTGTAAATTGGGCAAAAACAGCTTGTGTTGACTAAGTGACCATAAGTGGTCAATGTAATAAAAATGTAGTTGGAGCCCATTCATATAACTGTAAATTGTTCTTCTGTCCCCGTCAAGAAAAAAGCAGAATCTCAGATGAGGGCTTTTCAGTGTAACCAGTATATGCCAGAGATGTTTTTCAGTCTGATTTATAGTATTGACCTGGAAATGTGAGTGTTTTTACCTTCAAGCAGACACCATTTTCTTGCCCTAGAAGTATCAAATTGCTACAGATAAATAATGCAAGTTGGGTTCTTTTTTGCCTTCAGTTATTTTGCAGGTCTACTTTGAAAACTGTCCTCAAATTGTGTTAAACAATTTTCTTTCAGAGACAGAACTTACCTGAAAATATTTCTAATAATATTGCCTTCTTAATAAATACTGTGATACTGAAACTCATAAGATAGACACAAACAACAGTCACTTTTTATTTACCTAGAAGCTGTCCACTGGAGACCAGTGAAGCAAGAAGAATGATTTGTGGTTGAGGCTCATTAAATACAACAGCCTCCTTTGCTTTTTTTCCCAAGAAAGTGGCTATTACTCCCCAGTGCTAAGCATTTGGGTAATACATTCACGGCGGAATGTTTGGTAGGATGCCATTTAGAAGTGTCCAGAGACTGTTTTAAGAAGTTAACAATTTAGAGGTATTTAGCTAGCCTGCAGTTAGGTATAGTTTGGGACTGACATGCAATGACTGAGACAGCAAGAAGGCTTCAGATCACTGTATATGTGTGTACTGATTCCAGTTTTATTCACAAGTTAATCTACCAGGATTATCAGTCATTCCTGGATATTTCTTCTAAAAAGAAGTGTTTGGTAAGGTGTATGAGAAAAGTAAATTGCTAACTCCCCATGGACAATTCTGCTGTGATAGACTCTGGTAGTCCTGTGGTGTAGGAGGCAGGGAGTGGACTTCTGTGAATAAATAAATAATTTAAAGAGATACCTGTTTAATATTTAACAGTGGAGAATATTAGCTGCTGTGTACCTTGTGCGCCTTGGTTTAATGATACACGCTTTCACTTGAATCAGAGGTGGTCTGGACAGTGAGTTTGTGGGGAAGGTGTACTTGTGTATTTGATAAAAGCTGAAAAATCCTCAGTGTCTTTTGAATAAAGACAGCAAGAGTATTTTTTAACATTTGCCACACAAATGACATCTGTACAATTGGCATATATTTCCAAAGTCTGTTTATCAGAAACCTTTTAAACCAAAGCAGACCATCATTTGGATATGAAGACCTCTGTTTCAAATACAATAGCAGTTAGAGCTGCACAGCTGCAAGAAGTGTGGCATCAGGAAACGGACCCATGATGGAAAAGGCTGTGGAACTGCATTGTTGATTCTTGTGGAACGTGAAATTGAGAGATTTTGTTCACTCAAAAAATCATGAAATCATAGGATAGTTTCTTTTGGAAGGGATCTTAAAGATCATCTAGTTCCAACCTCCCACTAGACCAGGTTGTTCACAGCCCCATCCAGGCTGGCCTTGAGCACTTCCAGGGATGAAGAAGCCCCATCTTCTGTGGGCAACCTGTTCCAGTGCCTTACCATCTTCACAGAAAAGAATTTTTTCCTAGTATCTAATCTCCACCTGCTCTCTTTAAGTTTAAAGCCATTCCCCTTTGCCCTGTTGCTACATGCTCTTTCATGCAATCTCTCTCCAGCTTTCATTTAGGCACCCTTCGGGCACCGGAAGGCTGCAGTTAGCTCACAGAAGGCCTGCCTTCTCTTTTCCAGGCTTGACAAGGTCTTGCTCACCATTCTTGTCAGATTCTCCACTGGAAACCTGCTGTGAATGTGCCTAGCTAACTGCAGAAATTGTGGTGTTTCAAAGTCTAAATAGAAATCCAGACCATGGATCTGGATTTGAGGATAAATGTTCATCCACATGTTCAAGTGGAAAGGATTACAGTTTTGTGTAGTAGATAATTCAAAATATGATTAAATATTCTGGTATTTAAAGTATATGGGGAGGAGAGTATCTTTGTTGCAGAGCTTTGAGAAGAGTGGCTTACTTAGTTGGGGAAGCACAAAAACGTATTGAGAAAAGCACTGAAAGGCTCAAAAAGTCAAGCAGCATTTTTTGAGCTGTGAATTAGAGTGGAAGCAGGCTGACTGCTTCAACTCTGCCATAATCAGAAGAAAACAGTGGCTTGGAGGTAGAAATCGTCCATTTGAGGAAAAATTACCATGACTTTTTTCTGAGCTCTGTTCAGTTATCGATGGGGTAATAGGTCTGAAAACCAAGTTTTGTTGATGTCCAGGACATGATTTGTTTCTGACAAGACTTTGGTTTTGCAAGCAAAACCCTGTCACTGGTGTTTATAATCTCTGTTCCTCTGCAGACATTTGAGGTGGTGGGATGTTAGAATAAACCCTAATACAAAGTAAAATCACGTATGTGGGTTGTTTAGATTTGTGAAGTAGAAATTCAGAGCTGAAGACGAGTCTGCCAGGTAGAACAGAACTGAGCTGCATTGTTTTGCTTCTCTGTTGTTTTTGGTTATGTAAATTTTATTTTAATTCTTGCATTCTCATTTGCAGGATTTTCTCAATTTTGATACCTCTGTGTTTTCATGGAGATGAATTTGCTTCACTTCTTTCACAGCAGGAGTAATGTATTATTAAAAGGCAATGGAGAAGTCTTCTAAATAATT